GTTCCCTGCTTTATCTTTATGTATAAAAGCTTAAATTTTGTTTAAACATTAAAATTAAAATTAAATCTATCTATGGTTTCTTTTAATTTTTGCACACCTTTTGGTGACAAAACATTTTTCCAACAAACTATTTCATACAAAATATGAAGATACAATATACATTTATTTAACACTACTTAATGCCGAGCTGCATAAAAATGTATTAGTTTAATGGTTCAATACAATGTAATGGACCAATCATGGCTCACTAAATAATGTTTAAATGGGTTAGGGACCATAGGGTCACTAATAATTCGTTAAATGTTTAATGATCGTTGTTCAACCCGGCATAAATATCTTATTTATACATATAACACCACTACAACTATTGCAATTCGATTATAATACCCTCGGACACCTTGGGGTCTACAGACCACCTATATTGGGAATTCGAGAACCACAGCTGTACACATTTTAAATTAATTATTTAGTCATTTCGTCTGCGACTCAACGAGTACTTGTTTATTTGATTCCCCTTTGACCTCCCTGTTGAGAGTTCCACTGACGCAGGTCATCTCTGCAGGCATTCGTTTGGATTTGGACCTTTCGTTTGGATGAGTGACCATATCATGGCGATATCGACTGCCCGAGATCTAATGACCGTCGTCTTAAGCGTAAGCCCGACCAGTAACCATTCGTAGTCAGTTTGTTTTGCTTACCGAATCAACCACACGGTCGCAATCCTACCAATTGCATGCCATCTCTTAGAGGGCTTTGTCCGGATTCCATGCCGTACACCACACGTTTATTTACTATGCACTTAAACAACTTAAACTTTTTTTGGACTTTCCTAATTTTTTTAAAAAAAATTCATGTATAGAAACGCTCTTTTATGTATGGTTGTTACAACTGTTTAGTGATTAGTTTCTGAATTGAAATATTTTTATATCCGTGTAAATATTTTCCCAAACAGTATCTATATTGGAGTAATGTAGTGTATTGTGGTCTCGGTCTGTTTCACAACAGATTAATAATATTTTATTATTATGAATTATTATTATATATTATTTTGTTTATTTAAATTATTTTGTTAATATTGTTTAATATGCTCGGCCCAAGTTAAGCGTTTGTCTAGGAGTAGACCTAGGTATTTAACTTTGACCTCCCTGTTGAGAGTTCCACTCTGAATTGTGAAGCAGGTCATCTCTGCAGGCATTAGTTTGGATTTGGGCAGCAGTGACCATGATTCATGGCGATATCGACTGCCCCGAGGTCTAATGACCGTCGTCTTAAGCGTGAGTCCGAACAGTAACCATTGTCGTCCAGTTTGTTTTGCTTACCGAATCAACCACACGGTCGCCATCATACCTGACAGCCTTCGCAATCAATTTTTGTTCGACTTAGTGTGCGCTCTGCAGTGGTCATTGCTCCAAATCGATCCGATCACAGAGACTTACACCATTTTACCCCCTCATAATAATCTAGAATTTTCCTTTTTCCATGTATACATTTTTCTCTTTCCTTCGTTGTATCCTATTTCCTGTGTGGTCATTGAACAGTGTACATACATCCAAGTCGTCTCCACCCTCGTCGTGCGTATATAGTAGCCTTCTCACCACTGTCAGGCGCTCTTCTCGGCCGTCTCAATTCGTTACGGTTGGTTGTCTATCCAATCAAAATCTGATGCTATACTTCTTTCGTGTAAATTTATCCAATATTCTTGGTTTCACTCTTAAAATTATATTCGCACATAGTGTTGAAAATTTAACACAAATTTTCTCATAAGATTCTGTGTATACCATTTCAAAAATATCGAAAATACATATTTTCAGTATTTTTTTATACGGGTTAAAGGGAATACCACATTGGTCATTGTGTTTACGTAAAAGTCAGTAGGTAATCATCGATCCACAAGAGTCTGACTATCGAATCCGAAAAACGCTGCCAATTGTACATTTGTGGTTGAAGCGAATTGAACAATAATAATAAAAAAAAAATCAGTATACAGCTAAAATTGAGTTAAATTATTTTTAAAATGTTATCAAGTATAGAAACTGATAAAATAAACGGTTGGTGTAAATTTCAAGTACCTACCTACACAATTATTCATTTTTGGACAACATTTAAGAAACTCATTCCAAGAGAAATCGAGTGAATACTGCAGCTGGTACAATTCATAAAAATTTGAATTTCAAACTCTCATAAATAATTAATTTGACATCAGCAATATTTTATACTCGCGGTAAATAAACGAGTTAAAGCATATATTTTCTAAACACTTAGAATTTAGATTATTCGTTGATCCTTATAGGAGGGTGACCATACGTCCTGTTTTACACAGGATTGTCCTTTATTTCGGCTTTGTGTCCTGTTGTCCTGACAAACTTCTCTCAGGATGCTTTTTGTCCCGTAGTTTCAAGTCTGTCCCATATTAATCCCGTTTTATGCCTTATTGTTGATGTATATAATTTTTGAAATTTTTAAAATGACATTATTGAATAGAACAATATAAGAATCTTTACTTTTCAATTGTATTTTTGGATTTTTGTTTTTACCATTATTATTGTAGCATCACATTGTTGTCGGAGACGTAAACCGGACGTATAATAGTTTAATATTTACCGACCGGCGAGACCAGTTCGTAATCAAATGTGAGCATATTGCGAAATAAATAAATATTAATAATAGCCTAATAATATATCTATGTCGTTCACAAGCGTTATCTTATTGGACAACAAAAAATAAAATAAATACTTATTAATTTAAAAATATCATATATTAAATTATTAAAATATAACAATATTATAATATTTTTGTCCTGTATTTTATTTTTTTAAATATGGTCACCCTATCCTAATACCTACTTTAGTTACTCTTTACAATAGTAATTTAATTAAAGTCACTTGTGGCAACATCATAAGAATGTACAGTGAAAAAGATAGTGTTCGTGTGTTATTTGTAATGATTAACGATTTCACCTCGTCCCGTTTAGTCAACATAAATTGTAAGTGCATCACTTCAGACCGCCAACTAAAGGTAGGTAGTGATTAAAAGTGTCCCACAGACAATTCAAGTTTCAACTGATGAGTTGAAATCTGAATTAGAGGCATATAACTTTTATGTTAAATTAATTGAACGCTTTGGCACAACAGACAGACCAATGCCAATTTGCCTGGTTATCTTTTAAAAATAGACAACTCCGAAATAATTATAAGCTCAAGCTACAAACCTCCAAAAGACCGCCTTGAATCCTCCAATCAAAACCATAACCATACCATATCATACCATAACCAATACCGAAGAATGATGCAGTATCGCTGCCAGAGGTTATAACGCAAAGCATTAGTTGGAGCACATTCGCATTAGTAATCGTGTTGGTCAAACTCTTCCCAAACATGACTCTCAAAACGGCTAAGCAAAAGTGGCACACATGCACCTATATCACCCCAACTCATTTTCCAACATCTAACAGAAATTTGAGGACCACTGTAGTACAGAATCATTAAGGTAAGCAATATACACCAAATTACAACAAAAATACACTTATTTAATGTGTGTCAACTCAATGGTGAAAACTATAAACGAAAGAGTATCAAAAATGATCATCTGCAATAGCGAGCATCGAAATTATTTACAAACAACTGCTGCACTGACAACCAGGTAAACTTAAAATCTACTATGCAGCAGAGGGAATGCCCCGTTTTTTTTTTAATGTGATACTCACCCATTAATACAGTAGACGCCGCTTATAAGACTCACGGATATAAGGTTCAGTCGCTTATTAGACTCAAAATCGTCTGGAACGGCTAAAGCCCCCCCCCCATTATCCGTATTATTATTACTTTTTTAAAAAAAATATTAATCAAGTTAAACTGTCAACTACCTATAGTAATCAAGACGTAAATTTCAAATATGTCTTACCAGAATGAATTAATTTTTGAAAAAAACATTGTATTTGTAACATACCAATTTTCATAAATTATCTGTAATTTTTCGGTAAAATATGAACTATTTGTATGACAGACCTTGTATTAAATTGTCTAGCCTTAGCTATACAGATTTAATATTTTATAAGTTTTGAACTACAAATTAACTGTGGTTTTGACGAAATTTGAACTTTAAATGCTTATACAAAATAAGCATGGTGCCTATGTATCGTTAATATTTTAGCTATAATAAAAAAAACTTACGTATTACATTTTCAAGCTTTTTGACCGGATAAATAATTTTTTATTGACATTTATAGAAAAAAAAATGTAATTATTCAATTACAATCCAAGTGAAGACGGTATAACCAAACATTTAAATACATTTTCATTTTTTTTTCTCAAATTGTTTTTAAAAGCACTGAGCATTTTCAATTTCAACCTCCTAATAGTACCAATTAGATCCAATTTGCTTCCAAAAACATACACTGAGCTTCGGATCTTATGATCAGAGCATTTTTTCTACCATAAAAGTTGAAAAGTTACAAACATTTTAAAATACCTCAAATAAACGTCTAAATTATTAGAATGGACAAAATGAAAGAAAATTGTAACTAATTTTCAACCCCCCCCCCCCATTGAAAAATCCTGCGGACGCCACTGAACAAATGTATAGTTCGTGAAATAATAACATATATAGTATCTTATAATTTATAAATATTGTACCTAATTTAAGTGGAAATCATTTAGTAGTTCAGAGAAACAAAAATGTTTATTTAATATATACTATATTTTGAAATATTTTAATTTTAATAAAACACGATAGTCAATAATCAAATAAAAACAATTAATGGTTTTCGCGAAAATCGGAAAAAATAACAATTTAAAAACTACAACAAACTAAACAAAACAATTATTAGGTAGTTTAAAAAAAAATAATAACAACAGGCATTATTTTACACGGTAAAAGAGGAGCTTTAAGTTTACGGTTCATATGACCTATTATAATTATTATATTACAAAAGTAAATTGGTCTTGAATTTATAAACATCTATATCCTATAACTTTTAAAAGTCTTTGTTGTTTTTAGTGTTATCAATAATGGCTCTCATAATGATCATCATGGTCATAGTGGTCATCATCATGGTGGTCTTCGTGGTGGTAATGATGTTCGTGATGATGATCGACGGTCTTGTAAATGTAGACAGGCTTCTCAATGTATACGGGTTCTTTGATGTAAACTGGAACCTTGTGTACATGGTATGGTACATGGATAACGTGGTGTTCGCTATAAACCGTAATAAACAATGGTTAACTCTTGCGATAAAATAAATGTTTATAATTTATGTATAATGCCTAATTGACTTGTTATTAACATGGACTTTAAGTTATCCAAAGATTTAAATTTCAATACAGTATATTGTAATATTATATTATTATTTCGTAATATGATCTCGAGTGGGTCATGAATAATAGCTACCTAAATTTAAAACAATCCGTACAAAATAAGCAGCTGATATTGTGTGCACGCCTACATAATTTATGAAGGTGCATTTCATGGGACTTATAAAATTGGTGATTAACCATAATTGATGATATTACGCTTTACTTTTTCCAAATAAATTATAAAATGTTTATTCTGTATAGAACCATCAGGTTTTTACCATAAACAAATTGGTAGGTGTAGGGGCATGTCGTTATGTTCTTACGAAATCTCCACAAGTATTGAAACTAAATATTTACGATTACGTGTGCATATTTTGAGATCCGTAAGAAATAATCGAAATTTAATGAAATTGGTTTAGTATTAAAATCAGATTTTAGCTATTTTCCAAAGAAATTAAAATAATACTTAAAACGATCACTATGGTTTTTTTTTTTACTTTATAAATAGGTACCTAGTAATAACAAATCAGAAATTCCAGATGCAATATTTTTATTAGCTGTATTTATTACTAAAAGTATTCTTGTTGATTCAAAGCACATATATAATATGTTACAAGAAAGGACATAATAATATACATTTCACTATTTCAATTTATCATTAGTCAAGTGCCACTAATGGGTGGCTGCTTATTCTCAACATTCATGTTATTCTACTTTTACTTTTATCATATATAAGCTTATTGTGCTAAAAATAGTATAGATTGTTTATGTCAAATAAAAATATAAAAAAAAACTATTTCCATAAGTATGTGTGTATATACGTAATATACAAAACAAAACAATTATCCTTCTTATATAAAATTATAGTGCCTACTACTACATTTAAATACTTGTCTGATTTCAAAAACTAAAAATGTAAATATGATCCAATATAATATATTTAAGTGTATTTAAGTGTGTATTATAAGTTTGTTTATGTATCTGCATCTGCAGCATTGTATTTATATTTTTTTTTTTTTAAGAAATTCAATAAATTTAAATTACTTATTCCATAATGTATATAAAAATACATAGTGCATTTAAAAGTTTTTTACTCAGCTTTTCAGTATAATATAATATTATATTGTTTGATAAAAACTTTAAAATTGAAAGTTAAACAATAAACATTCATGCATCATAGTTTTTGTTATTTCATGCATATTATGCACTGCCAAATCCATTGATATTCTTTGTTTTTTAAAAATAATTTATAATAAAAAAAAATATAGTATGTATTTTACTTACTCTTTTGGATGACCGAAGAACAGTGGAGAAGCAGCAGCCACGGAGAGAATAGTCAAAAGAATAGCAACCTTAAATAATTATAAGAAAACGGCATTAAAATATGACCAAAAGAAAATTAGTTTATTTTTAATGAGTTATAATAACATATTATACCAGACTATACCATGTGTTACGTATTTGTGGTTTTTTTTTAAATTAATTGTAGACGAAAAGTTATTTTTTATTTGGTAGGTACCTAGATACTTACCAAATTATATTAAAACTTAAAATATAAGATAATTTATATGAACTGTAAACGGGCAATTTTTTTAATTAATTTTTTGTTGTGAATAAATGATAACTTGTCTTTTTTAATCAACAATTTATAGCAGATCACAATATTCTGCTTGAATTATTGTGGATTGTAGTAGGATGTGAAAGGTGGTAAGCGAAGTGCTTGTTGTCTCTGGTGGTCGTAGGTATACACACTGCACTTTTGTCTCACTACCATAAGCATACCCATTACCCTCAATTATTATTTATCTTTAAAAAGCATTTGTTACCGGTGCCGTAGACAGGAATTTAATAGGATGGAGAGGGGGTTTTTCATAATGATTACATATTATATAACAAATTAAATAATATAATAAATACATTTATATACTTGTAAGAGGGAGTTTGAACCCCATACGCCCCCCTGGTGTAAAGGCCCTGTTTGTTGCTATAATAGTCTATCGTAAAGCATCACATTTGTTCGTAATATAAACAACAAAATCGAACAGACGTCAAGACATCGACCGAACGAATCGAAGCTTAAAAAAATACGTGTGAAAAACGGCTGTCGTGGTCAAAACAAATTCAATAAACGCGACACAGTTTTCTTGGATAGTATTATAGTAAAATGATACCTACTATAACTATAATATGCATAGATTTATATATCTTTCAAATGTCAACGAAAAAAAAAAAAAAAAAACAAATTCGATGTATAGGTACTCACTGAAGTTTTCATTTTTGCTGCTGGTTGTGGTGTCACGTAGATAATAATATATTTAATATTATCGAGACGATCGGACGTTCTCGTTCACGATTACTGCACAAGTTGTCATGTTTTAATCGAGCACGTTTATATATAGGTAGCCCCGGTGGTACGCCTAACTTACCCTACCCACGTGAGTTAGAGGTACGTATATACGTCATAATCATGAATATTGTGCTCGGACGGACCAGGACGGGTTCGGGTTACTATTAAATATTAATGTTCATTTTAGGAAGAGTGCAGCTATAATAATTGCCCAGAAGGGTTTACCAGTGCAGTGCAGATGTGCAGCAGTAGACATAATGTTATAATAAGCTTGCATGTGCGTTATGCAACTTCCAACTCGGTATTTCGCTGTTTGCCTCTGCGCTGGAGACGGCGGACAGGCCAACGAGATCACGTTTACGGGTGTATCGTAACGTCTAACAGGTAGGTAAATAATATTATGTATATTATTTATTAAGTCCAATACAGTTGTATAATAGTATAATATAGTACGCCGACGAAACTGGTTTGTTTGTCACCGGCATGAAAGGTTTATGCATATACATATTATTATTATTGAGTTGAGCCGTTGAGGTGTATGTCTTACTCTTAGATCATATATACTATGGATGATTTTGTTGCCGATATCAGCTACGAGTCACCGAATTAGGCGATCGATGTGTTCAAGCGCAATGCAACTCCTAGCAAAATTATCCATAGTTACAATAGGTATAGGTTTCTGTGGATAATTATGCGAGGAGTTGCATTGCGCATGAGCGTATCGACCACCAAATTCGGCGACTCGTCGCTGATATCGGCAACGTTTTTTTATATTGATTTAATACGCTGTGATGGCTCCATCGATGGTATATGATCTAAGGTCGTACTGTCATAGCAGGTATTGACTAGGGGGTTGTGAGAGCGGCATACGCACCGGTCGCCACGACCTGCACAGGGGCTCCAAAATACATGATATAATATTATTTTTAATTAACAATTTGAATTTGTATTTTAAAAATGAATAATAATATTATTATTATTATTCTCTATTATACATCGAATTTTCAGATTAAACACTAAGATAGGTACAGTGACAAGAATAAATAGGAAAGGTGCTTAAAGTGATACTTGGCACCGCGTGCTGATTTTGCTAAGTCGTAGGTACGTGGTGTTAAAAAAAAGGCTTGCGATCTTTTTTTCTTTATTTTTTTCATCCTCTTTAAAACGATTATAAAATATAAATGTATAATTATTATGTATTACCTATATCATTGCGATATTGCCCGTATTACATTACGTTATTGAGTAATATTCTACATCGACAATAATCGGTCGTGTTTTATAACATCTTGAATTTCCTGATTGCATTATTACTATTATTTGTTGTTACTATTCTCGCTCTCAATACATATAAAATTATTAAATATACATGTGATTATAGATAAACGCCACGTCGCGTGATCTAAAAACGTATATTGGGCGACAATCATGGGCGTATTGACGTATTTCATAGATACACATAATATATATAGGGGAGTCATTTCAACATTTTTTTCGTTGGTGCCAAAATGTTTGCAAGCCTTTCAAATTATTAGAAAATTTTTTTTTTGTTTTGGGGGGTGTCAAGTGGGGGCAAATACTGTGGAATATTTGCATAAGTCACTTATATTAGTATGAAAATATCACAATATTATTAGGTACTATTTTTTACGAACTATGCTCAGGTACTTTTAAGGTATTTATTTCATATTGTGGATACCAGTAGACAGTGGTATTTACTATTTACACTTGGTAAATAAATGTATGGGTATGAAACACCTTTATAATAAAATACCTAACCAAACCTAACCTACACATTTTTCTCTCTGCATACTCATAATATATAACGTAGCTAGCTTAATAAAACCAGAAATGTATTTATGGGTACTCTTGTTCACAATGTTTGTGTTATCATTTTATCGATTATAATATTGTGGGACCACAATTGGAAATAAAACATATTAACGTCGGCCTAAGTCGCAAATGGCGTAGGTAATTCCAAAAATGTGATTTTGGGATTATTAGTGATTAAAATATTAAGAAAAAAAACTGTATCATATGATAAAGTTGTAACTGAAATTGTATCATTCTATCCTTCATGAAATTGATAATAAGAAATTATCGTATCTCCGATGTAATGATTTTAACAACAAGGAAAAGCCCTATCTCCAATCTCCATATTATCATTGTAAAAATGATGGAGATATGCCATTTTCGAAACATTTGCGAATCCTAATCCTAATCCAAATTAGGCCCTAAACGTTTTTTTTCTGTCCTGAAAAGTTGCCATTTTGGAGTTACGCCTTTTGCGACTTGGTACAATCCATTTATTTTTTAAATACTGAAAAAATATAAAATATATATAATATAAAACACTTAGGTATAACGGCGGTGGGTGCTTATATTTATTATTGGCAGCCAAAGAAGGCGTTTTAAAAAAAAAGTTGGTGCAAATTTTCACCCAGCACCCCCCTAAATGACGCCCCTGGTATATATTATAAATTAAAATATTAGTTGTATCTGTATGAGCTTTTACTCTTTTAGTTTATAATCTCGTGTACCCATGATATTTTTCACGCTGATATCAACGTAAACTTGCTTAAACTTGCTATTAAACTAGTATTTACCTACCTCACAATCATTATTTAATTCGACTAGACCCAATTGCGGGAAAAATAAAAATTCAAACATAAAATAACGATTTTTTTTATCATCATGCTGTAATTCAAAATATCAACGGCGTTGTTGACAGGGTTTTAAAACGGGGGGGGGGGGGGGGGCAAACCAAAATATTCAAAAAAATACTCAACACAACTAACAATAATAATTAATTTTTTGTTGTTTCAATGTTTCGATACGGCTAATGGGGAAACCATGGTCCACTGGCCCCACCCTTATGACTAGGCCATTGCAGAAAAAAATGATTAACTATATATAGTTAGTTGTAGAAACATAAAACATTTCACAAATCACAATTGCGTAAATTGTTACTTTCTATATACGACTATACTGTATAATATAATAAAATGCCAAATTAAATTTTCAAAATGTTTAGACTTTCATAGTAGTAGGTAACTAATGTATTATAAATTATTTATAATTTAGGTATACCACGAAGCATGCATGACGAATCTATTCAAAGTATTCACTTCATTCTACGCATTACGTCTTTATTGACTATTGGCTATACCAGGGGTCTCCAAACTTTTTTATTTAAGGGCCACAAAAAAAATTAAATGCTCTTAGCGGGCCAAAAGTTTATTAACACATATAATTTTTAATTTTATGATAATATATTAGGTACCTACCTATATAAATAATATGTTTACTTTATATGTTTGTATAAAATATTGTTTACTTTACAATATACTTAAATAAAAATAAATAGGTATAAATATAATATAATATAAATACATTTTTGAAATAATTTTTTATCTATATTTACCTATGCTTCCTATGCGGGCAGGTTAAAACTTGTTCGCGGGCCGTAGTGTTTGGAGACCCCTGGGCTATACTATAATATGCATAGGCCATAGGGTTCGGTTCGGATTTTGAGACAACATTATAAGTTATAAGTTATAACTTAACAACAAAAAATTCGAAAGACTCGCTCTATGGTGGGTTGAACTAATTTTTTTTTAAATCCAATTATCAATTATCTACTTATTATACATTATATTATTATACTATAGAGTATAGACAATAGTACCTAATTTATTATAACGTTACTTTTTAGTATCTGCATGTATACGTTTATAATAAACAAATATAAAATGTATCCATATAATATGGATCCGTTATTATTAGCAATAATATTATTGGTGTATGTGTTTTATCACAGCTCTAGAACAAGAATGCCACAACTCAAAATTCACACATTTTTAAAAATAGACTTAAAATAGTCATAAGTTATGACTATTTTCGAACACTGAAAAAATAGTTCTGTAAAATGCAACAATGTCACATTCATTATAATTTTTCATTGAACTAAAAAGATGTGTCAGTATTGAATTATTAAATTTGTAGCTAACTTTCAAAGCAAAAGAGCCATGATATTTACTTTATGGCAGTATACTTATTTTAATTTATTCAATTAATCACTGAAGTCGAAATTCAAGACTCCCTTATTTCGATTTGTGAATTGTGATGGTCTTGCACTAAGTAAAATCAAATTATTGTGTGATGTGTTAGCTGTTGAGTGCAAAACAGCAATATTTAGAGTTGTAGTGGTATTTCATTTTACAGTTTGTTATAGGTATTGCAGCCAGAATATGAAATGCAATAGTGCCATATTTAGTACATCTCAAAATATGGCAGTCTTGAACTCACTTACAAAATTGTAAAAAGCCACAAGTCTAACTTTTTGGGTTTAAGAGAGTATTTCATAATATTTGAAAAGTCATATTGTAAAGTATCTTGGCAAGTATTTAAGTTTTTAGTTTCAAACGCATCGATATAACATTTTTCAAATATCTTAGATTTAAACTTCAAAACACTTTTTCTCAAAATTAAAAATTTGAGTATTGACAGTGGTCTTGTTCTAGAGAGTAAAGATACGAATTATTTAAATTATTACATAATAGTTAATACTTAATAGTAACTACTAACTAGTAAGTACTAAATACTAAATAGCACTTCCACAGTTCCACAGTTCCACTTCCAGTGCTTTCCACGAAGGTCGAAGATAGTCACTACTCACTAGGCACTAGGCAGTGTCCCGTGGTGATTTCGATTCTTTTTCATTATCTATGTCATGGACACTACTACCGAGATAGATAAGAATATTCTTATCTAATCTGTAGTTGTTGTTATTCTTACTTTTTTTTCTATATCGCTGATAAGAGATAATTTAAATTTAAAAACTTAAAACACCGAATAAATGAAAAACGACAATTTTTTTTTAATTTTAAGTAATCACATGTTTATTTAGTTACAACTTACTTAGTATTACATTAATATACTAAGACGACTAGGTCAAGTATCTGTTCTGAAATTATAATAGACAGCCTTAGATAGGTAGGTACCTACATCAATTTTATTATAATTACACATTATTTTTCTTTAGTAAACATTTTTTTTTTCTTTAGGATTTCATTTTAATTGCAATGCTTCGGTCTTTGAGGAATAAACGTTCATTGACTGATAAAATTGGTTCTAATAAGGTTGAAAATAATGAGCTAGTTGTCAAAAAGAGAAAACATTTGACAATAAAATCTGATACTAATGAAATAACTTCAGATTCTAATTGGAAGCCACCAAATTGGGAACAGACATTAGATAATATAAGAAAAATGCGTAAAGAAACTGTTGCACCTGTAGACAATATGGGATGTGATCAAGCTGCAGACCGAAATGAACCACCAGAAGTATGAACACATAATGTGTATAAGATAATATTTTTACCTATCTAATTGAATTGAAACAATTATTAAAGGCCAAATGCCAATGGCTTGTAATGAATGGGATGATATTCTTGTTGGGTTTGATGTCAAATATTTTAGTTATTCCATTCAATTTTTCTTTAATAATAATTCTTTGGTGTATGGTATAAATATCTTAAGTCAAAAATTGACATTTTTGGCTAATAGTATTATTTTTTATTAGAATCAAACATTTTTATATTTTGTTGGTATGGATCACTTAAGCCAAAACTGTAACTCACTGTCAGTGAAATTTGTTTTGGTCTAAACATTTTAAGTCACATTATATTGGGTACAAAACACATGTCTAGTTAAGATTTGAGAATCTGACAGAAATAATTTTAAAATGGTCTTAATATCTTAAGTCAAGTTTAGTAATAATTTTAACTGCATGCCTCGATATCGTAAATCATATAAAAATCCAATCATCTTAAGTCATTTAAAAATAATGAAGAATTTAAATTAAAGTTCTACTTAATAGTTAACATAAAAGTTGCTACATTGAATATCAAAATAAATCAATTATTAGCCTAGACATTATTGTCAACGATTTTGTATGATTTTTTGGTGTTTTGTTTATTCTTCCCGAAAACTAGTCGTTTTTGACTTAAGACATTTGTCACTTATACTATACACCAAAGAATTCTCAACAACGTTAGGTAGTTTTGTGTATGTAATATAATATGTATCATGTACGTTTAAATATTATAGGTGGTTAGATTTCATGTACTAATTTCATTGATGTTATCAAGTCAAACAAAAGATGAAGTTAATTTTGCAGCTATGCAACGTTTAAAACAGCATGGCTTGACTGTTGATAAAATTTTAGAAATGTCAGACGATCATTTAGGAAAACTCATTTATCCTGTTGGATTTTGGAAGGTAATATTTTGAATATTTATCTCTAATAAATTAAAATGTATCAGTGGCGTAGCCAGGAATTTTGTATGGGGAGGGCTAAGTATCACTAAAAAATACAAAAAAAGCGGGTAAGTGGATGTCGCTCTGCTGTACAGTAGGTTACAAGTGGGTCACTGTATAATGGATTGTATTAAATTTGAATTCAATGATATCATACTATCATTGTATACGAAAAACGATTTTGAGCGGAGACGGTTTGCCAGTCTGGATATTTTATATTTTATTATAGACCTGTATGTTGAATTAATATTATAAATTACAACAAAATAAATAAAATCGTTATTTTTATTTTCATTTGTTTTTATGGTGATAAACAAAGCTTTAGAAATTAAAATCCCATTTTTAGCGGTTTTAACCTGTATAATTTATTGGTGGTTTTTCTCTTGGCATTAAATAACTATTGAAAAAATCGAAAAAAAACCTGTTTAAAGTACCATCTTGATCCAATTTTCTAAAAAATAAGAGACTATATGTTGAAATCGAAGCAATGGTAGAAATTTTGTACACAAAATAAAAAAAAAAAAGAAATAAAGACCATTGTAAAACCAATGGATCTAAAATCGCTCCACTCAGAATCTAAAATACAATTACAATATTATGTCTTTTATTCACACTTTTTATTTTTTCATTAATCTTAATACAATTCTAAGATCAACACAGTCAATGGGGGGGGGGCTATAGCCCCCTTAGCCCCCCCTGGCTACGCCACTGAAATGTATTAATTTCTGTGTTTGGCATATATTATTATCTTAATTATGTTGAATGTTAATTTTTAATTCTTTTTAGACAAAAGTTCAGTACATCAAACGCACAACTCGTATATTAAAGGATACATATAATGGGGACATACCAAACACGATAAAAGACCTATGTCAGTTGCCTGGTATAGGACCTAAAATGGCTCATCTCTGTATGAGTTGTGCCTGGAATGAAGTTACTGGAATTGGTACAGCACAATATTTAAGTATTATATTTAAAACAAGTTGCATTTGACTTAACATATTTTTTAAATTTCACAGGAGTGGACACTCATGTGCACAGAATAAGTAATCGTTTGGGATGGGTAAAGAAAGCTACCAAGACACCAGAAAACACACGTATTGCTTTAGAATCTTGGTTACCCAAAGACCTTTGGCGTGAAGTTAATCACATGTTGGTCGGATTTGGACAGACAATATGCCGACCCATAGGTCCTCATTGTGATACTTGTTTGAACAAAAAAACTTGCCCTTCTGCTGTATCAAATAGCACAACAATAAAAAAAAAATAAATATTTTTTTCTATTATTTTTTACTAATAAGCTATTTTCAGTATTATTAAAATCTCATTAATATTATCCAGTTTTTTTTTTATTAATTATCATGATATGTTCATAATTTTTTATAAAACAGCATTTATTGAGATGTTTTTATATACCTACTTATATTATTATACTTATACACTTTGTAATTAGTTTATTACTTTCTGAATGGTATATATGCAATACGCATGTGTTGATATTATTATGTTGAAGTGAGATATTTAAAAATATATTTGTTTTTCTATTATTTATTTATGTGTTATTGTAATTTAAGATTTCTATTAAAATATACTTAACATAAATGATGAATACTCAAAATAAAATACAATAGTAACCTATCCATGATTTTATAGATAAAAAAAAGCTAAAACATTTGCATAATTTGTATTTATAACAGGATTCTTCTGTTGAAAATATTCTATAAAATTATTTTACAAGCATTTAAATAAATAGATTATAATCCACACATACTATTAGAAGTAATTGACTATAAGTCAGTAACACTCAACAAACGATACCAAAACAACTTAACTTCTGTTACCTATAATAATAGCATTGGTTGTGCAGCAATAATACATATTTATTTTTATTTATTTATGACTAATGGGAGATTTACAGATAATATGTATAAACTATAAAGTAGTTTAAAATAATAATAAATTCAATTATCTACTAAACTCATAATGATGTCCCACATATCCCAGCTATAGAAGAATATAACATCATTGTTAGACCACAAAGTATACTCATATTTACAGTAAAGTACCTTCGACTGGGATGAAATGGAACTTTAGTCTAACCTGGAATATTGTGACTTTTGTTTATTGACTTTGATATAACCATAGATAATTAATTAAAAAATCAGACTTGACAAGTCTATAGCTTATGAATAGAGTGATGAATACATACATAGTGATTCACCAATCATGCTCAACCCCCATTTTGCCTTAATAATGAATTTATTCAAATTCTTATTTTTTGGAATTTTTAAATATACGTATAGACAATTTTTTCATATTCTGGATATTTTTTGTACTACTTAAGGAGTATCCTGTTGCGATACAAACTTCTGTTTTTCAAATGAGTACCCCCATTTTTTACTGTAAATTATTTATTAGATAATTTTTTTGAACATTTTCATGTTGTGTATAATTCAAAATTCGAATGAGTGGTTTCTTAGTTATTAAAATGTTTGTATAAAGGATAATAGTCCTCAAAAATGGTTTTTACATGAATATAAAATAGATGTAAGACTGGATCTAGATTTATTATACCTGGGCCATTTTAATTATTAATATTGATAGATTAATATTAATGACTACAATTTTCGAATCACCATCATAGCCCCCAATCCCCATATCAAGACCCATTACCATAGACGTTTTATCCTTAGAACACAAAGTCGAATAACTCAAAAACCACCAGTATTAACAATTTTGATTCTGTCAAAAATGTCTGAAACATTATCCACTGTATAATTTACAGTTGAAAAGGCGGGGGGGGGGGTGTTTTCATTTGAAAAACAGAAGTTTGTATCTCCACAGGACATTCCTTAATTACTACAAAAAATCTCAACAATTTGAAAATTTGTTCTTAAAAACTTAAAATATATAATAAAATTCCAAAGATCAGATTTTTAATACCTAATTGCATTATCGAAAAAAAAAAGGGAGTTGAGCATGCTAGGTGTCTTAATAGCTGACGACAGTAAAACATTATGTCTGCGATTAACAGCATTTTTTCTGCTTCGTATAGACGTGTATAAACTAAAGAAAAAGTTTGAACACCTACCGATAGATACTTAGTACTACTAATACAGTACCTAGTTCGGAAGTCAAGGGGGCTGGAGACTTGGCATAGCATAATATTATGTTTAGCTTAAGGAGTAATATATAGGCAATTCTTATTACATATAAATTTGGACCGAGTCAATCATGTGTGATTTAAAATGTAATTACATTGAAATCGCAACCATCTAACGGTTTCGGTCTGTTTGACCGGAGATCGTCAAACACCATTTGCATAATTTCGTTCTCGGACAGTTTCTGGTTAACGGACGAAGCTTCACTTTTTGCCATGTTGGTTTTATGATAAACGTTGAATAAACAGATTATAAATTATAATATGAAAATACGATTTCACTTTTAGACGAAAGTAGGTAAATTTATTCGTAATGTTCGCAATTAATACTAATGAGTAATCCTATTACTGTGACACAGAAACGAATAATAAATTTTCCAAATACTTATGCAGTTATGCACTTGGCAACAAGATGTTTGTTGATTTTGTAAAACTGAATGTATCTTTTTTTTTACATTAAATGGATACAAGTGTACAACAATTATTTATTAAATTCTTATTTTTATTTTTTAGTTATACCGCTGAGGTACAAAACTAAAAGTTATTTTTAGATGAATGGATATTTGCTATGTATAGTAGGTATATGGAAAAAAAAACCACGGGAAAAAAACTAAAATTATAATATAAATAATTATAACCAATATTTTTGCGAAATATCTTTTTCCTTTATTCTTAATGTCTTTGTAAAGAAATGGACAAAGCTGAGCACTAACTAGTAAGTTAGTTAATCTAATGTAACTCGTTAAAAATAATAAGGAACTAGTTATTCTTGTAGGTACCTAGTTTATTTTTTCATTTATTGAATGATTCAATTTCTTATTTTGTTATATTCTATTATTCTAATGACTGATATTCCAAGAAATTAAGGTTATTGTGTACCTATTTGATCAATTTTAACAAATTATCAGTTGACAGCTGTTTAATTTAATTTTTCATTCATCACCAATAATTCAAGTTAGTTACCCTACTTAATTAATTTATATAATGCATTACATTTAAAAAAATGGTTTTTTAAATTTATATTTTAAATTAAAAAAAAACTAACTTCTAACTTCTACTCTAACTTAAGTTACTATTTTTACCAAACTAACTTTTATCTAACCAACCAAGTTGGAAATTTGGTAAATTTTGGTAATTTTTATCAAGGCATATTTAGGTAATAATAATTTCATGAAGATTAGAGATATCTCTAATATTATGTCTAATCTTCATGAATAATTTATATAGAATTTCGATGTAAAAGTACATCGGAGAAGTTGAAGTCGTGAAATTATTCTATTCTGTGGTTCGGGGGATTGGGGTGTGTGTCCCTAATGAGCACGATATTGTAGAGATGACATATCTTCTCTACATCGCGTGGTTCGAAGTTTCGAACACAGACACAGTATATAAAAATATTTTTATATATCTGTGAATACAGAATAAAATAAAACCTATGCTATAGCCCAGGGGCGTATTTATGGGGGTGGCTGGATGGACTGCAGCCCCTCCTGAAATTTCAAGAAAATTCAAAAAATATGAATGTCAATAAAACTTTATTTGTTGGGTAAAAAAGCTTTAAAATTTAATACAAGGCTCCTGCTATATTGTTACAATAGCAGTTGAAAAATATTAAAAATCCTTAGTCATAGTTTTTTTATAAGCATTTAAAGTTCGAATCTTGACAAAATACGGAAAAATCACATAACTTAAAATTTTGCTGAATGTTTTCATTTTTTATACACCGAAAAAATTTAAAAATATTTTGCCTCTTTTTGAGCTATTTACGGACATTGACAGTTTTAATTTTTCTTAGTTTTTTTTCTATAAATATCAATAAAAATTTTTTTGTTGGGTAAAAAAGGGTGAACATTTAACTCAAGGCTCCTGATATATTGTAACAATATTAGTTGAAAAATATTAAAAATACATAGGCACAATTTTTTCTTATAATCATTTAAAGTTCGAATTTCGACAAAATTTATCAAATTTAAAATGTAATAAATATTTTGTAATTAAAAATTTATAAAATGTTCAACTTTCATAGTTAAGGATTGAAAATGTAAAACAATGGTCCACGTAAATAGGTAAATATATAAATTACTTTATTCACAATAATATCATCAAATATACTAAGTAATATCATAGACTGAGTGCTGACTGACCGTTTTCGCTCAGAATCGTTTGAATTCAAATTTAACACCATCCATTACAGCACAATTACAGTGACCCAATTGTAACCTACTGTAGATAAGGCTCTAATAGACACGGGTAAAGACAGCTGCCATTTTCTTTCCATAGCTGATAAATGATAGTAGGTAGTCATGTATTTATTAAATTTGTTTTGTGAAATTGAATTTTGGTAATTAATGAATAAAGGTAAGAAAATATATATTTGAACGATTATTAACGATTTTTCATAGACGTACTTGTTTTGATAAATATTTGTATAATTTGTATTAATTCTGTATTAATTCCAATTGGAAAGGAAATGGCGGCTGTCTTTACCTGTTCTTAAAGAGCCCTACTGTAGATACAGGCATACAGCAGAACGACATCCACTTACCCACTTTTTTGTTTTATTGTGTGACTATGTTGATAATTTTGTTTAGCCCTTCCCGAAATAAAATTCTGGTCATTCTGGGCAGTGGCGTACACAGCTATTTTCAATGGGGGGGGGGCTTACATATAAAAAAAATTATATACATATATATATAATACATTGATGAATCAAAACGATGTACCTATAGTAATTATTTTGTACATAATGAGTAATCGGCTCATTAGCAATGACTTAAGGTGAAATTAAAAATATTTTTACAATTCTCGATTATTATTTAAAAAATATATACCTATTACCTACAGGTAATTATTTAGTATAACTACAAAGTTACACGCGTACATACAATATGTATATAATAATATATTATATACAATTCAATAAAAGATAGGTATAAAGAGAAATTTATTTTTACCATATTAATCATTTTTTTTGTACCTAGGTAATAGGTTGATAATATATAATGTATTAAATATTTACCTGGTTCCTCCGAGTTAATTGTATCATAAATTAGTGAGTTAGAAAAATATTCGTTTATTCTTTTCATTTTTATTGTTTTATAAAATATTTAAACAGTAAGTACAATTTACTAAACGTCCAAAGCGTCAGGAATTTGATTGAAAACTGAGAAATAGATTCTATACTATAGTATTAGCGATACTGCAATAGCTATTAAGGCATATTATATCGGATTACACGATTGTCGACCCTCATGTTTGTGTTTGAACAAATTTCCCAATAATTTCATTAATTTGTAACAAGTTATCAATAATATCTACAATATATTATAACAACAAACTGGGTTGCTTATAACTTATAAGTTATAATATAATGGAGTATAATTTGGAATATAATATTTTTTTAAATTGTCATCATTTTTATTATACATTTTTACGTTATTACGTAAACTGAAAAAATATTAAAGGGGGGGTTTGAACACCCAAACCCCCCCCCCCCCCCCCCGTGTGTACGCCACTGATTCTGGGAATCGCGGAAAAAATGCCCACGGAAAAAAAACCCACAGAAAAAAATCCCACGGAAAAAAAACCCATAGAAAAGAAATTACCAAGGAAAAATAGCCCATGGAAAAAAAACCCACAGAAAAAAAGCCCTCCGAAAAAATTAAAATTAAAAGTAAATGTTAATACATCTATATTTAATATAATTATTACATAATATTTTTTTATTTTTAATCTAGTTTATACAATCTGTAAATAAAAAAAAAGTACAATAAGCAAAAATTCCCATTATATTTCTAATCTTTTTTTCAATAATTCTCCATTTCATCGAACACTGGTCAAATTTCATAACAATACAAATAAATTCTTTTTATTTTCGTTATGAATTATTAGTTAATGAAATCTAGATACAGTAATGTGTTTTCGGAAAAAAAAAAAAAATTGCAAGACCGCAAGAGTCTTGCAGTGATGGTCTTGTCTTATTCTTGCAAGCCTTATCTTGGTCTTGGTCTTGCAGCCAAGAGTCTTGCGAGTTGCGAGACCGCAAGACCAAGACCAATGTCCAATTTTGATCGTCACTAATGCATTCTGGATACGCGCCTGCTATAGCCTATAAGAATATCTGTGGGTTCGAAGCATGACTTACGTATTTTCTCCACATCGTGGTTCGAAGTAATGAATTCGGTGTATTATTAAATCGGAGCAGATGACTCTCGAGGTAGTTGTAGCAACCCGTCGCCAGTCGGACCTTATCTTCTTGGGGCTTGGGCTGAAAATCAGAAAATTAATAATTTTATCTATTTTGCGGTGCTGACAGGTGACAACCGACAAGTATCATAATAATTATTAATTAATAATTATTATAATACTATATTATATTATTATTATATTATATATTTATATAAGTAAATTGTTCGCGTCTTGACTCTTGTTATATTATTATATAGTTCATAGTTGTTCAGTAAATACTGTACGTTTTGTCTTGTCATAGAAAATTTTCTTCAAAAAAATTGTGTGCAATTGTAGACCCGGCTTTCAGTTTAAGTGTTTAACTTGCAAGTGTGACAAAAGTATTTTGAAATGTCTATTGTGTAACTATTTTCACGTTTTATTCATTCTAAAACATTATACAGTTATAACTTATCTGTACCTACTCCATTACTTGGCATCCAGCTACATCAAACTAAACAAACTACAAACTAATTGTCTTCGCTATTTCATCTAAATAATTGATTAAGTAATCAAATCATGTTTTTATAAATAGTAACCAATATGACTTAAGAAGACGTAACACTCGCATATGTGGTCTCCGCCTTACACATGTACGACATGGACAAAACACGTTTACACAGTCTGAGTAGAACTCACTCAATTTTGGCTGTAGAGTAAAAATACCTATTAAAAATTGAATTGTGATAATATTTCTGGGAGCGTCATTGTGTTTTTTCCTTTATACCCAATGTAACGTTCATTATATCGTTTAGAAATAGCAAAAATTTCAACATTTTTAAAATAGGTACATTTAACTTTTCAAAATTTTAATTTTTTAAAAAAAACTCAACGTCTTGCCCTCCAAAATATTGTCATATTTTAATTTTGTATAGGTGTTTATATACTAACCAAAATTGAGCTAGTTCTACTCAGACTGCATAAATGCGTTTTGTCTTTACGTACATGTGTAAGACGGAGACAACACATTTGAGTGTGACGTTCTCTTAACATAATTAAGCCACCAAATATTTACATAAAGTATTAATTTAACATTCCAGCAGTGTTGGGTAGTAACGTAACAAAAGTAACACGTTACTTTGCTTGTAACGCGTTACGTAATTTCATTAGAATTATTTCCAAGGAATGGAAATGTAATTTAAATTACTTTTGAAAAGTAATTTCTATAGAATAACTCGTTATAGTTTTGAATTATTAAGTACCTACCTACCTATTGCGAATTGAAAAAAATATATATGTATAATGGGGGTATTATTATGTTTACCAATCTAATATGTATATATATTTAATTTTAACTCGCCACGATTCAGTTTTCAATGGTTTTGACATTTGAAATGTCTAATTGCACCTTACAAATCACAAAAACAGTTAATTAAATTTGATTTCTTTAAATAGGTTTCCTATGAATAGCTTGTATGGAAAACTAAGTTTTATACGATAATATTAACTATACAGGTTTTATAAAGAATTTGCTTGTTCAATTTGCCTGCAGAAGATAATTGCCAAGAAATAAAAAATTTGTTTTTTTTGTAACGAGAAAGTAATGAGTTACTTGTCTATTAAAAAAGTAAAGTAATTTCATTACAATTTTATTTGAGTAACGAGTAAAGTAACTTAATTACTTTTTAAAAGTAACTTACCCAACACTGCATTACAGTTACAAATAATGTTTTCTTCAATTAGATATATAGTTGGCTAAGAATGAGTATGAAGAATAGTTTAAATTATTTATTATGAAAATTTGTTTTTAAATTATATCAAATTATTTTATTCTTCATAGATATTGTATATTTTAGATACAAATAGGTATAATTATAAATGATTTATCTGTATAATAATATATAATAACATATATTATAAAACAATTAACAATATCAAATTATTACCAGTTTTTATGATTGTAATAATTAGTTATAAGTGTAACCAACCAATTATATTTTTTTGTTTACTAGGTTAACTAAAAATTGTTGATCAATAATGGCCATGTACAAATGTGATACGTGTACCAGAGATTTTACTCTGAAAAAAAATTTACAAAGACACATGAAGAACAAACACGACATAACTTTAGCTTTTATTTCAAATAACGGCATAACCACCATTAAGGAAGCCAATTACAAATGTCCCAAGTGTCAATTAACATTTGTTGAGAGAAGTTCACTTAGACGACATGAAAGGGTAAAACATAAAATGAACATCACGCCCTCTTTAAGGAAAAAAAAGTGAGTAAATTAAAGGTATACTTTGTTTTTTATATTATTTAATGCCAGTCATCAATGTAATATTATGTTGTTTGAATTATTCTTTCTGAAAGTAAATCATCTGATCATTGTTATTTATTTCTATATTTATAAAGTTGTACTTAATAATCAACTTTTTTAGGTTCTTCAGATACCTACAACTGAAGTATAACAATTAATAACTTATTTTTATTTTCAGATCTAGTAAATGCATGACATTTGAGCCCAGCAATTTAGAAGATTATCCACTATTAAAGGTATTATTTATTTTTAAATAATTTAATAGAAACTCAGTTACCTAATTTGTTACATATTATAAACATTGTTATTTAAGAGGACATCATACCCCTGTGGGTTGTTACTTGTTTTAGCTTTAAGAAGATGTCAGCACAGTATCTTTTTGTTTTCCTCTGACCCATGTGCAACATGGCTAATTTTAATACTATTATATTTATTTAAATATTTAAATATCAATATAAATTATAAACCTACAAAATACCCTAGATATTCTTTCCCTTAAATTTGATAATTGGTAAATGATTGTGTTTTATTTATCAAAATTTAAACTTTTAAGACATAGACCTTTAAATTTTAAACTAAGTACAAACTAGTAAAAAAAAGTTATCTATTTGTAATTAGTAAAATTAAAAACATTTTTGTGGTTACTGACTCAACTCATGAGTATTATAGTATTAAAATAAATTAATAGTTTTGAGTATTGTCTATCATCAGTTTATTTCTAAAGTTATTAATTAAACCTACAATGAACTATATAAATATAAATCAAAACATGCATACAACATTGAAATAATTAACCATAGCATATCAGATACAGACATTTTGGATTAATGAATGTAATTAATTTAATTATTCAATTTTCATACAAAATCATACAAACCTAAGATTAGTTTGGTTTGATTTGAAAATGTAACATTTCTTAACATCACTTAAAATATCAAACATATTACTAGATTAATGGGATATCAATATTATTTATTATTCTAGAAATTAGTACCTGAAGATTATGTTTACAAAGTGAGTAACATACAATATTTGGAAAATGACGGATTAAGATCAACATTTGAAATTGCTGATTGCCCTGAGGATATATTTTTTGGTTGGTTATCTGAAGTGGAAGAAAAATCTAATGTCACCTACAGAGTTAAATCGTTCACTAAGTCATCGAGCCAAAAAATTATATTTAATGTAAATATTCAACAACTTAAAATTATTTAATATTTATTTTTTACATCTATAAATGTTTTCAGAAAGTGTTTAGATGCGTTCATAATACATTTCCCCATAAGTTAAAAAAAGCTCATCCAAAGCACACGGGGTGTATGGCCACATTAACTGTAAGAATAAAAAAATGTAGTGAAGCTTTGTGAGTGTTAACTTATAAATAAGTACAACAACTATAGTGTTAAATTTAATTACTTTTTGTAACAAATTTTAGGACTGTTCAAAATACACTGGCTGATAATAATGTCATTATGATTACTCTTAAAGCAATTGTGACACTCTATCATAATCATAATCATGTGCTTATAGATATAATGAAACTATACAGTAAAAAAGAGAAACTAGGAAAAATACAGGAAATACAATGTAATGAAACTTCTATGGAGGAGATTTATACAACAGAAAACCAATTAAATGTAACACATTTCGACCAGTTTAACAGTACACGGCAAAGCACTAATTCGAGTATTTCACAAGTATATTCCAAAAATAATGAAATCAATGATAATACAACAGAAGTGGTTACAAATGTATTTATATTAAATGAATCTGAAAAACAGCTTGTAGTTGATGAAAATGAAAAAAATGAGCCAATTGAAAATGATAATTTTGAATATCCTGAAGAATATGATAAATACATTTTGGTTGAAAATATAGATACACCAAATGTATTATGTGATAATAATAAGAATGAATTAAACCAATTATTGTCTGATTATGATACAATTAATAAAAGAATGTTGAAACAGTTCGAATCAAACCCAAGTTATTTCAAGTCGGCGATCAAACATTATACATTAGCAATGAAAAATAGTTTGACTTCTAAAGAATCTTTATTGAATGCACTGCTTTCATTTGGAGAACAGTCTAAAGAAAAAGATAATTGATTGAAAAGTATTCATATTGTTTGAAAAATTTATAACTGGCAAGTTTTTACCCATTTTTATAACTAATAATCAAGGCTTTGCACCCAAATGATTTATTCGGGTTATGGTTTCGGGTGCTTCAAATAAAAATAGAGGTTGTGGTTTCAGGTTTTCTTCATTTTAAAGAATATGGGTTTTGTTTAGCCAGTTTATTTATTCGGGTTATGGGTTATTTAAAATCGAGTAATATATCAATTTTGTTGTGCGTAAAGTGTTAAATTTGATTAAGCAAAGTATAAGGTTATACAATCAACTTTTCAGTACTAATGTCTAATACAGTAGTGACACACGTAATATAATTTAAATTTAAATTGAATATAATTTAATATTTTATAATATTAAATATTAAATGTTTTACCAACAAAGTATTAAATAGTAATAAAATAAAATGAAATAAGTTATTGAATCAAATATTAAAATTTTGAATAAACTATAAATACATTTATAAATTATTGATTATTCCTTATAATCAAAATATTATAAGTTATAAGGGATATACGAAGATTGGTTGCAATAAACTTTAGGTTTTAATAAAATATAAATTATAAAATTTTACGGACATAATAATATTATATTAAAAATTTAAAAATAACACAGTTCAAAACAATCAAAACAATTTATCAGTTGTATCCCACTTGTCACGTGTAACCAATGTTCCCAATTATGAAAAACTGAATTCTTCATGAAATATACATACAAATTCATATATCACTTGAAAATGTAATATTTTTTTATACGGGTTATGGGTTAAAACCCGAATTTAATTTTGGTTTTGGGTTTTTTGGGTTTTTTGGGTTATATGTCATCAAAATCAATCGGGTTATATGGGTTTAAGGTTTTGATAATTTTTAAGGATTTTTTAAGGGTTATGGCTATACGGGCTAAACGGGTGCAAAGCCTTGATTATAATATTTCTTGAATTAAATTTTAAAAAATAAGTTTGTTCCAATTTAATGTGTTAACAACAACTAATTTAAATTATTTAAATATTTTTTTTATTGTTTCAATATTTTTGTATTATTTCAATGATCATTTAAGTAATCAGGGCCTTTAGATAACCAAATCTTAACACATTAGTTTTAATTTAGAATTAATTGTTTTTAAAATTAAATATGAATTTAAATATATCTGATTAATTATCACTTATTCAATAATATACAGGGTTATTCAAAATGATTCATCCGATTAGTAAGTATTCATATTGTTTGAAAAAATTATAACTGGCAAGTTTTTACCCATTTTTATAACTTATAATATTTCTTGAATTAAATTTAAAAAAATAAGTTTGTACCAATTTAATGTGTAAACAACAACTAATTTAAATTATTTAAATATTTTTTTTATTGTTTCAATATTTTTGTATTATTTCAATGATCATTTAAGTAATCAGTGCCTTTAGATAACCAAATCTTAACACATTAGTTTTAATTTAGAATTAATTGTTTTTAAAATTAAGTATCAATTTAAATATATCTGATTAATTATCACTTATTCAAAATGATTCATCCGATTAGTAAGTATTCATATTGTTTGAAAAAATTATAACTGGCAAGTTTTTACCCATTTTTATAACTTATAATATTTCTTGAATTAAATTTTAAAAAATAAGTTTGTACCTATTTAATGTGTTAACAACAACTAATTTAAATTATTTAAATATTTTTTTTATTGTTTCAATATTTTTGTATTAATTCAATGATCATTTAAGTAATCAGTGCCTTTAGATAACCAAATCTTAACACATTAGTTTTAATTTATAATTAATTGTTTTTAAAATTAAATATCAATTTAAATATATCTGATTAATTATCTCTTATTCAATAATATACAGGGTTATTCAAAATGATTCATCCGATTTAAAATGGCTATAAAGATCTGACGCCATGTGATTATTTCTATTGGGGATTTGTTAAAGACACTGTGTACGTATACCACCACTGCGATCAAATCTAGATGAATTGAAAACTCGAATAACAACAGCCATGCAGTCTACGCTGCAAAAAGTATGATATGAATTTGATTACCGACTAGATGTTATTCGTGTAACCAAAGGAGCTCACATAGAACATTTATAGATACAGTATTAATTAAACTTGAGATATTTTTCATTTATTTAATGTATAACATATTGTTCTAAACCTAAAAATTTAAATAATATCAGCACTTTAAATCGGACGAATCGTTTTGAATAACCCTGTATGATCAGGGTTGTTAAAACGTTTAAAACAAATAAAACATTCAGCATAATACCTAACAATATACTCTTTCATGACATAGTTATTATACAAACATTTTATTTTTTTTTAAAAGGTGGTACACATTTATTGAATAAGTGTACTGCACAAGGATTGATTACAAATTAACAAACATGTGTGCTGTTCAGGACGTTTTGATTTAACAACCGTGAGTATTTGTTATTTTATATACTTCAACTAGCTGATCCCGTGCATTTCGTTTCCCGTTAAATGTACCAACTCTATATATGACTCAAACATTGTTCAATGCGTTATTTAATATTCGGTGTATGATGTGTTCTAGATTTATCTTAACTTTTCTGTTGCCCGGAATAAAAGTTCTCAATTGCAGCAGTACATTGTCAGATAGGTAATTTACCTGCGGTATATCGCAGACCCCGTGCTGTTTGTACGTAAGTGTATGATTTAACTCAAAAAGTACCAAAGTTATACCAAGTTTGACGTTTTTACTTAATTCCACCTACCTATAAATCCTAACCTAACCTAACCGTACTAAAATCTGATGAATAAAAAAAACCAAATTTAACCCTTTTTAAATTAGCGTATCTTCTTCCCATAGGTCTAATCTACACACCGTCATTCATATTTTATATATAAGATATATTTACAAATTACAAAAAATAATAATACAAATCAACAAACATGCCCGATTAACCAATATAATATAATACATCATAGAGTAAATACAGACAACGGTATCGAGTTCAAATCCCAGACATCAATAAATAGTTTTTGCAGTTTTTCTAATTATTCGGTTGACTTTTTAAAAATTTTCTTTCGTAAAAACCTTCACCTGGCAATTACAAACATCTTAAAAAAAATTTGAGCAAAATCGGCCCAGCCAATTTCCCAATTTGCAATTTCGAATTTTTTGTCTCCATTTTTATATAATATAGATTATTGAAATTATTTCAATGGTTGTATTTAAAAAAAGAATTTATGTATTTCGTAATTTTCCAACGAAACACACGTGTGTAAGGGTTTCTCGTATGATAAAATAATACTAAATCGGAACCTTTAGACGCTGACCGTTCGCCGTTTTCAAATAATCGTTTCGATCATCGTTTTTCGCGCGAAAAATTACGGCGGAAATAAAAAACGCGGCAACATCATGTTGGCAACGGTGCGCGGACGCCGTCCAATCTCCGTGCCCGTTATTCTCGCCAATCGCGTGGCCCGTTAGATGCCCCGTCGGCCAATCGGCGGCCCCGTTACTGTCACCCGTCCGCCAGCGCAGTGTTCAATGACGTCGGACTTTCCACCACAAACAAACCGTCGCCATTGTGTAATCGCTGCTGCAGTTCGTTGTCCGTCTCCGCTCTTTCACGTCCATCGCTCAACGGCCGTTCGTTTCTGTCTTTTGATTTACCACTGCTCACGCGTAGTAAGTACCTTTGCAAAACTCCACGCCAGCCGTTCCGTTAGCTTTTGCCATTACACACGACGTCCGTCTCGACCATTTCGGTCGGCCGCCAGCTCGGCCGAGTTTTCGATTTATATCAATCCGGCCAGCAGCCATTTGGCGTTTCGACGGGACGCTCGTCTCCTCGCACCCATCCCCCTACCTGGAGTGTTTTGCTTTTTCTGCGTTTAGGTTTTGTTGTGATTTTCGAATATTATGTGTTTCAGTTGAATCATGGCTCGTACCAAGCAGACCGCCCGTAAATCCACCGGAGGAAAGGCTCCCCGTAAACAGTTGGCCACCAAAGCCGCCCGGAAGAGTGCACCGTCCACTGGTGGAGTGAAGAAACCTCATCGTTACCGTCCCGGTACCGTGGCTCTTCGTGAGATCCGTCGTTACCAAAAGTCCACCGAGTTGCTGATCCGCAAGTTGCCGTTCCAACGTTTGGTCAGAGAAATTGCCCAGGATTTCAAGACTGACTTGCGTTTCCAGAGTGCAGCCATCGGAGCTTTGCAGGTATTATTGATGTTTTATGAGTAGCTAAAATGATCTACCTACGTATGTCGTATGCTGCTAATTCGTTTCAACAGAGGGTTCCGTTTGGGTTCGAATTCAACGATTTCATATTGTTTTCACTTAATATTATTGATTTGTGACCATTTCAGATTGATAATTTTTCTATTGAGCTACATAATTACTAATTACTAAACTTTAGCTTACTAAATTTACCTTGGGTACATTTTCTAATCTCTAAATTGTATTTATTTTAGGAGGCCAGTGAAGCATACTTGGTTGGTTTGTTTGAAGACACCAATTTATGTGCTATCCACGCCAAACGTGTCACCATTATGCCCAAAGACATTCAGTTGGCCAGACGTATCCGTGGTGAAAGAGCCTAATATATCCATCACATTCCTCTCAACTGTATTTTTTTTTCGTTTGACAATTTTCCTGGGTTATCTTTTTACATATACTTTTTTTTTTTCACGAAAGAAATAATAACTAGCTATACTATCAATGTGTGTGTGTTTAATATTAATTTGTAGGAAACCTTATTTTTTTTTATACATATTTAATTATAAGTAAGTGTTCATTTAAGGAAACAATTTTTTTGAACGACAGAAGCAGCATTTTATATTACATACAATAAATGTTATCCTTCAAGTCGTTCATAAAACTTCTTTTTTTCATAACTTCATAATATAATTATTACATTTTGAATAAATAGGCAACTAAGTAAAATATTATATGTAATAATTCATTAATCGTACAATTTAAACAATATTAAGTTATGATATGCTACT